TTGCATAAGGACAACTATAATGAATTTATGTGTATTTGAATAAATTTAATATACCTCTCGCTCTCTCTTACTTTGTTAAATGTTGTACCCATATCTTTAAAGTAGCTAAAAATAGTTGATATTACATCTTCACACTTCCCCTGTTTCGAAATGTGTAATGTGATAAACCCCTTAATAACACTCTCTTCCTGTACACAAGCTAATAAAAGAATGGTCTTGCATGTTGGTACAATGTCTGTTGTACAGGCCTTGAGCTAAGGACAGGGAGAGTGGCGTCTAGCAATAATGTGTTTGTTTGTAAATATCTCTACATACAGAGGGAAGAGTGGGTGGAAGTTAAGTAATAACGCTATTATTGGTATTTGGAAACCACTATCACTTTTTGAGGGAGGTCCTTTTATACAAATGGGGGATACGGATGTATGATGAGTTGATGAGTTCTTGACGCAATGTAGATACTATTAAAAAACATGTAAATAAAATCCTCACAATCACACCGAAGAGAAATCATTAGAAATACCTAAATATCCTCTCAAACCCACCTGTCTTCATTGCTATGGTCTTTGGGCACCCAATCAGGGTCCTCACCGGAAGACCAAAGTTCGTCCTCGTCATCACTGTGAAACACGAGAGCAGAGAATAAGCAGGAAACATAACATGGTGAAGCATAACGCACGCAGTATACGGAGAAATCGATATCAAGGGCAGACTAAAAACAGAGAGTTGGTTCCGCTGATAGATAGATAGGCAGGCAGGATGATAGATAGTACATTAAACTAATAGGTACTCTAGGTGAATACATAAACAAACGGATGGTTAAGTGTATAAGCGCAAACTATTTACAAAGACTGAGTGGTAGATACAAAAAAATGACATACAGATATCAAGTCACAAAGGCATACTGTATCTCAAAATTTATGAATGTGAAAAGAGCGTCAAAAGTAAGAAACTAAGGACCGTACTTTAAATCATATTTAGGGTTTCAAATAGCATGGGACAGGGACGTTGCTGCAAAAGCATATAAAGGTAACTATAATGAGTCGATGTAGATTTAAATACACACACACAAAAAACAAAAAAAAAAATCTACAACGTGGCCACATATACGTATATCTTTAAGAGAAATAAAAGCAAATATTAACGGAATATGGGAGTAACGAACGGATCCTCATATTCACCTTTCCCCCCTTTCTAAAATCGGAACTATACAAGTTTCTTAATAACATCCTATTTCTAGACATAGATTGATGAACATAAATACATAACAGCTTTTTGCAAGTTATGACCTGATGGTTCCATGAGCAGAACCTAGAAGGAATGTGGGGGTGTTGCTCTCTATGTATGTATGTAACTGTCTGTCTGTCTGCTTGCCTTGTCTGTCTGGCTGCCTGGCTGTCTTTCTTTTTTTCTTCTCTGCCCCCCCCCCCTCTTTCTCTCTCTCACTAACTCTCCTGCTTCATGTATTTTTATTTTTTTAAATAATAATAAATGTATTGATGAAACACCTTTGAACAAAATCAACACGGGTGTTATCTACCTCTTTTGGATTATCGTTGTTTCCGCTCATATTGCTATCTCTAATTTATTATTTTCCATTTTGCTTGTAATTTATAGTTCCTCTTGTGATCAGTTTCCAAAATTTATTCATTACCTGTCAAACAAACTGGAGCTAGTCACACACACACACACACACACACACACACACACACACACACACACACACACACACACACACACACACACAAGAAGAAAATCAAAACGGGATGTGACCGATCAGTTTAAAATTTTTGGCGGGAAAAAGAAAGGTGAAAGATATCGGCGTCTGCGTTCAAATCGGCACGCAGTCTCATAACGGCTATGAAGTGGGATGGATGTTTGCTCTTGGATATACGACTTATTCGAACGGTTTTGCTGTTTTTATTATCATCTTGTGGACAAACTATGCCTGCAACGGCTGTTTAAGGTAAGTGGTGTTATATTCTATGCAATGTTTAGCAGAATGAGAGGGTAAAGCCGTAGAGGGAGGAGGGGGGGGGGGTTGTGGCAGTATCATCCGGGAATTAATTTGTTTACATTTTTGTTTTTATTAGAAAGTGGAAGAAGGTAATCCCATTTATAGTCCACACGTTCATATAACTACATACGTCTGGATATGTGTGCCTGTCTCTCAAAGAAAGAAAGAAAAAATCCAGATGTGAAAAAATGCTATTTTCGTCATGTTATGATAAGGAAAAGATGCATTCAACATAACATTTATTGATTACGAGAGAGCATTTGATAGGATCAAACATGAATAAATAATGCAAGACTTATAAGATATTGACATCTATGAAAAAGAGATTGGACTTTAAAAAAATATATATATTGGGAACAAAAGATAGCAATTTCCATGAAAGGAGAGCTTAGTGAATGGAAATACATCAAACATGCCTCTTGTCATGTTCTTTCTTTATGCTGAGATTGTCATGAAAAGGTTGACAGTGGGGGGAAAATTTACTCTCACAATGGTGTACCACTGTCGAACATCAGATAAGCTGTGGATACCTTCAAAATTTGTTAACTAGTTTGAAAGAAGAAAGTAAGAGAAGAGGTTTAAACATTAATAAGAAAAAGAGAAAAAAATATATATAGACATTTTTTTTAACAAGGAAGCAAATAACCCATAATGTCACAATGAGCCAGCAGAACAAATTCGGCAAGTTGAATATGACAAGTGATGGCAGATTTGAAACAGAAAATAAACAAAGAAATGCTAGAGCTATGGATGGATAACTAACACTAGCTAACACTACAATCTTACAGAGAGTTAAATAAAAGAGAAAGACTATGAAATGTATTATAGAAAGGCAACTTAGGTTTCTGAGCCACACAGTGAGAGAAGTTGGAAACGTAGAAGGTTCAAGAGGCAGAAGGAGACAAAGAGAGATCTCTCTTGATGATTTAGCCAACGCAATAGGCCGAAGCAAGACCGAGCTCCTTCGTCAGGATCGTACTAAGTTCAAAGGAATAGTTGCCACGTCAGGACCTGACAGGCCACTTAAAAGAAGTGAAGAAAGAAGAAAAAACGAACAAAATTTACCGCAACAAAAGGAAACTTGCGCATGTTAACAAAAATGAGTTACCCTACTACCGAAGAAACTTTACCATGAGAAATACACATTGTCTTCCTAATCTCACCTGTCTTCCTCGCTCACACCTTCAGGAAGCCAATCAGGATCGTCATCAGAAGACCAGAGTTTATCTTCCTCTTCATTATAACTGAAATGCAAAATAAATAAATAGATACATGAATAAAAGACTTTAAAAATTGAAAACAAATAAAACTGAATAGGGAAATATTTAGAGAAAAAAGTGATATCGGAAAGTGGTTGAAAGGAATTGCTAAAAGAAGTTGGTGGTTGCGAAGATTAAATATATGTGAACGTGAGACGAGTATACACCAACATATACAAATATGGGCATAAATGTACACCGACAAATAAGCACAAACAACGCCAATAAACGTAGACTTTACAAAAGAACAACAACTAAAAGAACGAGATTAAAGAATGAAATAAATAATCACATTACAAAGATTCACTAACGAACACTCCAAAACTCACTCCGGTTCAGCGACATAGTCTTCGTAATACTCATACGAATGGTCGCCGTCGTCGTCGTCAGCGTCCTTGTAGTCCTCCGCCGTGGGCAACCAATCGGGGTCGTTCTTGAGATCGTCGTCGTCGCCGCCGTCTCCGCTAGCCTCCAGGCTCTCCTGTTCCTTTGGCCTGGGAAGAGGGACTGCTGGCCCCGCCTGACCCTTCTGCGGGAGCTGAACTGGGCTCGAGGGCGGACGGAAGCCTTTTCTGTTAGGGAGGGCGTGACCCAGGGCTAGGGTCACTACCAGGATGGACAGTGCCAACGCTCTCATGGTGACCTTGGCTGGCACTGGTGGAGGGGGAAAGAGCAGAGGGGGGAGGGTTAGTGGTGCCTTTTCTTTTCGCTTTCTTTTAATTGTTAGTTTGGTGTTATTATTTTCAGCATTAGCTTGATCAATATAGTATAAAGATGATTGTCATTATTTTTACTGGCACTGCTTTTGTAATTCTATGATTATTATTATTCTATTACTATTATTGTCGGTAGTTATTATTATCGTAATTTCATTACTATTATTATCATTACTTATGATCCTGTTACTGGTTCTGTTATTACTACTATTATTATTATTGTCATTATTATTATTACCATATTTATCATCATAGTTATTATCACTCTTATTATTCTTTTCATCATTGTTGTTATTATTATCGTTATCATCATTATTATTTATTGTATATATATTAATACATATACATATATCCATATATATACATATATATATATATATATATATATATATATATATATATATATATATATATATATATACATACACACACACACATATATATATACGCATATATATGTATATATGCATATATATGTATATATACATATATATGTATATATATGTATATATATTAATATATACACGTGCGTGTGTATGTATGTGTGTGTGCATACACACACACACACACACAAATATATATAAATATATATGTGTGTGTGCGTGTGTGTGTGTGTGTGTGCATGTATATATATGTATATATATACACATATATGTGTGTAAAAAAAAAGAAACACACACATATATGTACATATATTGTGTGTGTGTGCAGTAATTATTCAATTAGCAACCAACATATTGTAGAGAAAACTGTCTTAACAGCTTATATACTAAACAAGTCTTGCATTCTATTTGGTCCCATATTTGGAAACTTTAGGAGTTTAACAACACTGTCCTCTTCAGTATGAAGATTTTAATTTTACCTTTCTTGTAGACTGGGACACTAAGAGATGTTTTCGTTGTCACTGTCACCCTCTCACTGGACAGGATACAAGATCCACGTCACCCTTTTGTCAGTGATGATATTAAAAAGCCTCGTGTCACAGTGCCAGCTTTCGTCACAGTGCCAATG